TCCTCCATCACTACCCTGCCTCCACCCCAAAGATGAGAGGAAAGTATATTCTCATATCTGTTCTTTGGGGCCCACTTTGGTCATTTTAATTTCACAGTCCCCTGCTTACTGTCAACCTTCTGTTGATCTGTCCTGCTTCACTGATGCATGCATCCTGATCCTGGTGGTGTCCTGGGGTTGGGGGAAGGATGGGGGTGGGGAGGAGAGGTCCTCTTAGGGCTGCTCTCACCAAAAGAAGGAAGGAAGCCTCTAAGGCAGGCCACTCTTCTTTCCCCAAGAGTGATTCTTTTCTGGACAGGTCAAAACCCCAGGAAACACAAGCCAGACAGCTAGCTCAGAGGGAGTCCACTTCTGGGCTTGCTTTGACTTGGTCTAGTCTCCTGTTTCTGGGGACAGTCTGACAATATTGCCTTACTCTATTAGGGCCTGAGGGAAAGAGGGAAAGAAAAGGAATGGCACCCTCCTGGTCTTTTATTGACTAAAATTTGCTCCCCAACTTTTGAAGGGGGTATGCAGCAGTGAATGCTGCTTCTTTTCTCTTCCCCAATTTTCTCTTCCTTTCTCCACTTTGACGCTTTGGTTTCTTCCAGTGAAGCCTTCCATTCTGCTCCTAAGGAATTCTGCAGTGGCCTCTATCTAGCTCAACTCATCTTGATTTCTGTGCCTCCTCTAGGGCTAGGGTGGGGGTGGGGGACTAAGGAGGAGTGTTCCATTATGGGCTGGAAGATCTCTCTGACAGCCCAGTGGGCGGAAATGGCTTGACCTGGCCGAGGCAGAGGCCAGCAGCTGCAAGTCACCTTGGCTGGTGATGTCAGAGCAGGGGAAGATCGATGCTATCTCTGCCTAACGGTTTCCTTTGGGTAGGCAACTTCCGCCTTGATGTTTGTCAAGTAAGAAACATGGGTTGGGGCAGTCCCTCTCAGAGCAGAGAATGGAAGACAGCCTGAGAAAAAGGACTAGAAGAGAAGGAGTCCCTAAATTGAGTGTGTTTAGAAGCCCTGATGTTTGATAAACTTCTTAGAGCAGTTATAGAACTGTGCCCCACCCCATTCCCAAAAGGCTAGCCTCCAAATAGAACCTTTAGTCACACACGTATATATAGGAAATCTAAGTAACATCTCTCTTTTCCTTCACGGTCCTCTTCTTGAGGCCGCTGTGGTCTCTTCATTTGACCCTTTGCCTTGTTGCTGGCTTGGTGCCTGAGATGGGAGAGACATAATGTCTCTGTGAGCTACTGCGTCTCAGAGCTATCCATAGGACTTACCTGTAGATTAGGAAAATCTACAGTGATAAATTGTGTAAGGACCCATTTTCCATCTAGCTGGTGCATCTAACTCTGCTCATATGTGGCTTGTGAATCTCTGTGTCTGGGTGGATATGTTTGTTTGTTTTTTTCCTTATATATTACACCAGTGCTTAGTAGGGATAGCTGGCTTCCAGCACCTGACTTATAAAGGTGTTAGGGCTCCGTGACATCATACATGTACTAACATCATCTGAGTGACCAAACTTACCGATCCACTGTCGATCTCCCCATATGGTTTATCAACTGGACCTGATGTGCAAGGTGCTGTGCAGAGAAGGGATTTCCACCCTCACACGGCTTTTTGTTTTTTCTTTAATAGGAATACAGAGTTCCATCTAACTCTAGATTCTTTCAGGAATCAAAACTTGCAAGACTGCAAATTTTAGTGGAAAGAAGTCTTCTAACTCTGGTCAAAAGACCTGGATTCAAGGCTCAGATCTACTGCTCATAATCTGTGTGACTTTGGACAAGTCATTGCACCTCTGCAGTCCTCAATTTCTTCATCTGCAAAATTAGAAAATTGGACTCAATGATCTCTCATGGTTCTTCCAGCTCTAAACCTGATGTAGAGAGGCAGTTGTGGGTAATGCACGTGAGAGGTAGAGTTGAAAGACCTGGGTTTGTGTGCAACCTCTAGCACTTGCTATCTTGGACAATCAGTCATAGGCAAGTCTTTTAACCTCAGAGAGCCTCAGTTTATATATCTCTAAAATGGTCATATCTCAAAAGTTTGTTATGAGGAAAGTGCTCGAAAGGACTATACAAATGGATGAAGAGGTTGTGTTCTTTTTCCTGCTCTATAAAATATAATGCTGGAAACAGCTGAGTAGTGCAATGGATAGTTTTGGACCTGGAGTCACAAAGAGCTGAGTTCAAGTATAGTCTCAGACACTCACTAGCTGTGGGACTCTGGGCAAGTCATTTAACCTGTCTGTCTCAATTTCCTCAATATTAAAATGGGAATAATAATAACACTTATCTCACAAGGTTGCTGTGAGTATAAACTGAAGTAATGTTTGTAAAGCACAGCACAGTGCTTAGCACATAGTAGGCACTTAATAAGCGTTTATTTGTTCCCTCCCCATCCTCAAAGAGGGAATAAGAAAAGTTTTTGGTAATATGAGATATGTTTAAGCTCAATTCCTTAATTTTTTTCTCATCATCATCTTCTTCTTCTCCTCCTCCTTATTTTTCTCCTCCTCTTCCTCCCCCTCCTTCATCATCATCATCATCATCATATTCTTCATCATCATCATCATCATCTTCTTCCTTCTCTCTCTCTCTCTCTCTCTCCCTCTCTCCACAATCTGATTTAATGCTGATCTTTCATACCACACATTCTATGTGCTAGCCAGTGTGGCCTACTTACTGTTCTCTGAGTTCAGTTTTCCATCTACCACCTCCACACCACTGCACATGCTGTGTACTGTACTCCTTCTAAATAAGATCATCCATCTTTACCTAGCAGGGATTGGAAAGGTAATCTCCAGGATCAAATATAAAATCCTCTGTTTGGTTTCTTATACCTTCCTTCCTTCCTTTCAGGTACTCTATGATCCAGTGATGCTGGTCTCCTGGCTGTTTCTCTCCCAAGATATTCCATCTCCAGACTAAGCATTTTCATTGGCTGTCCTCCATGCCCGAACTGCTCTCCCTTCTCATGGCAAACTCCTACATTCCCTGGCTTTCCTTAAGTCTCAGCCAAAGTCCCACTTTGTGCAAGAACTTTTTTCCTACTCCTCATTAATCACAGTGTCTCCCCTCTGAAACTACCGCCAATTTATTTTATCTATCCATCCATCATTCCATTCATCCATTCTATCTATCATTTGTTCATAGTTGTTAACATGTTGCCTTTCCCATTCGACTGTAAGTTATTGGAGAGCCGGGCCATTTCCCCCCTTTCTTTGTATCCCCAGCACTTAACACAATACCTGGCACGCAGGAGGTGCCTAAATACAAGTTGACTTGACTCAATCCTGAACTTCCTTAATGACTTAGCTCAAGTGCCACCTCCTATGGGAAAGCTTCCCTGAGTCTCCTAGTGTTACTCCTTAGAACAGTGTCTGGCACATAGTAAGTGCTTAAATGTTTATTGGTTGATTGATTGATTGCCTACTACTCTATTTTATATACTTTTTTGTCTACATGTTTTATTCATCAATCTAATGTAAGTGTCCATGGATACAGGACTATTTTTCTTTTCTTTTTTCTTCTTTTATTCCTTTCTTTTCCTTCCCCCTTCCCTCCCCCCTTTTGGGTCTCTGTATCCTCAAAACCTAGCACAGAGACTTAAACATAGTAGGCTCTTAATCGCACGTCACATTGAATTGAAGCCCCATTCGGGGCTGGCTGAGACAAGGGAGAACTATTGAACAATATGTTTCAGTAAAAGAAATTCCTCACTTTGTATACTAATATCTGAATGTGTATATATGTATACACATATACATATATACACATATGTAATGTGTGTATATATGTATATATATTCTTTAAAAAAATTTTTTTCTCCCTTCCTCATCTCTGTCCTAAAAGCAGAGCTACAGAAGCAGCAGCCCTTGGGGCTTGGGGCTCTTCCTGGCTGTGACTCAGGACATAGAACTGGCAGCAGAGAAGGATCCCTGTCTAAATTCCTCTCCCTTCATCCCTCCCACCCCACCCCCACCTTCAATGCCTCCCTGGTCTCCCTGTGGGGGAGGGGACAGACTATCTAGGGAGGAATTGTGGAATGATTACTATAATGGGCCTGATGGGAATTTGGTGTATTTTGCCTTTTACTGATTTGGATGGGAATGGAGAAAAAACATTTGCTGAGTGCTAACAGCTTGTGAAGCTAAAATTCCCAGCAAAATGCAATGCCTGTAACACCATAAATCAGGAGTAAGGGGAAGAAAGATTTATTACAGTGAACTTGGAAAACTTTTCTTGGATCCTTTGCTTTTCTTTTTAAAAAAATAAATAAATAAAAAGGGAAAAAGTAGCTTCCTGAAAATCTGTGTCTGGGAGGTGTACGGAAAAAGGGATGGAAATGGAAAATGTTAGTCCTGTTGTCCACATAGCCTTGAAGTCTCACTAATAGGTACTCACTGCTTCATCTCTTTCCACAGCAGTAAGAGTACCCACAGAGAAGCAGAGAAATGTATATCCATCTGGTGACACAGTATCTTACTTCTCTTCCAATACATAAGCCAGGTGCAAAGAATAAAAAGGAGAAAGAATAAAAGGAGAAAGAGTAAAAAGGAGGAAAGAAGAGAGGGAGGGGGAGGGAGGGAGGGATTAAAGAAGGAAGAAAGGGAAGGGATGGAGGGCAGGAAAGGAGACAGTAAGAGAGAAGAAGAAGAAGAAGAAGAAGAATGGAAGGAGGAGGAGAGAGGAGAGAGAGCCCAATTTTAGAGGACCAAAAGATAGCATAATAAAAACAGTGGGAAAGTATGAAAAGAGAATGAGTACAGACAGATGGAAGTAAAATGGGCAGTAAAAATAAAGAGGGAAATTGGGGAAATGCAAGCATCTCATCCCCATGTTTGGGCAGATTAATGGAGTTTGCTGCTCCTTCTCTTGAGTTCTGCACTCTGGGAGGGACAATATCTGTTTAGATTTGTGTCTAAATTTAAACCCTGATTGCCTTGCCTCCTCTCCTCCTCTCCCCACCCTCTTTTCCTCCCTCCCTCCCTCCTTCCTTGTTCTCTGGTGCACAGCCACTCCGGGCTCTGTCAGTTCTCAAGCTGAGCTGGGGCTCTGAGACTGCCCCCGTGCAGTGCCTGGTGCTAGAAAGAAACTTTGCCTAGGCAGGGCTAAGAAAAGGGAAAATACAGCACGCACCACGAGGATCAGGGCACCTCCGTTCAAAGGATTCCACAGCAGACACTCATTCTACACCTGGAAGACATGGAGGTAATGGGAGTTGGTTGTCTAAAATCGTGTGCGTGTGCATTAGAGTACGGGTTTCTCACGATCAGTGCAGGTCAGAGTATGTGATTGACTCACAGATTGACTGAATGTTACCTCCACTTCACGTGGTACTTTCTCGAGAAGGGGGAGGGGGAGAGACAGAAGGTCATATGAGGGTCATTCTGAGCTGGCCATAGAAGAAAGGGCAAGGACTTACTACTCTGGACATATCCTATACAGACCCTTAGGGCTTCTCCACCACCCCCAATTTTCCTAATCTGGGCAAGAAGGACTGTCATTTCCTTCCAGGGCATGGGGCAGTGGGTCAGTAGGAAAAGAGGAAGGGTCGGGAAAGGGAAGGGTGAAGCTTCTGAGGGCTTTGAACCTTTTGATCAGTGATCACAATGGCTGTGGAATTTTTTAAAGCAGAAATCAGCAAACACATGAGAGAGACGCTAAAGAAAGCGGAAGCCCCAGAGTCTGCAGGGATAGGTCCTAAAACAGAAACAAATGGCAAAAACTTCCCTTTGATGCAAGCCTGTCGAGAACACAACTTTTTGCAGACTGGGGACCCGTCACTAAATTGTACCTGAAGTCTTTCCTTTCCTCTACCTCATCTCCCCCATCACTTCCCGAGAAATCCCCCTTAGCTAAGCAGTCAGAGGACGCTCACTGCTCCTTATACAGCCTGGCTGCTCTATAATGTTTTTCAGTGTGGGGTCCATACATGTGTGTGTGGGGAGGGGCATAGTAAAGGCTTGGTGCTTCTCTGCCCCATCACTACCCAGATGAATTTTTAAATGTTCTCCACTACTTGGAGTCAAGAGAGACCTGGGTTTGAGCTCCATCGCTTACTAGTTGTGTGACTATTGGCCTCAGCTTTTTTTGTCTCTAAAGTGGAGATAATTATAGCTGTCATTGAGAGGTAGTTCAGAGGATTAGGTAGAGACTCACTTAGGTAGAGGTGTGGGTTCAAATTCTGCTTTTGATATGACTGTAACCATGGGGAAATCACTTAATCTCTCAACCCCCCAGACAGCTGTCTAAGACTGCAGATTACCTTTGAGTTGCCTGCCTGCATCTGTAAAGGGAGTTTTAACACAGGAAGGTCCAAAGACTGATTAATTCAACAGACCAAAAGAAATACTACCTACCTCCAGGGGAGCGTGATGGAAAAAAGCATTTAATTTAGAATCAGAAAACCTAGATTAGAATTCTGGCTCTGACACTTCCTCCCCGTATGACTCCAGACAAGTCACTTAAACTTAACTTTTGGTTTCAGGTTTCTGGAGTGTCAATCACCAAGCATTTATTAAGGATCTACTCTCTGTCAGGTGCTGCGTTAGGCATGGGAGTACAGAGACAAAAATGAAACACTACCCGTCTTCTAAAAGCTTACATCCTATTCAGGGAAACATATATACATATAAGTGTATACAAAGTAATTATAAGGTATTTTTTCTTGTTAAGTGGTAGGAGGAGGCAGTAGTCACTGGATGGAATCAGGAAGGGCCTTACAGGTGAAACTTAAGCTAAGCTTTGAAGGAAGCTAGAGTTAGAGGTGAGAATGGTGTGCCTTCAGGGCACTGAGGACAGCTTGTGCAAAGGCATGGAGATGAGAGATGGCAACAGGAGCCAGGTTTGACTACACGGTCTTTAAGTTCCCTCCCAACTCTTAATCTCATAATCCAATTATGAAAGCGCTATAATGATGCGCTTTGTAATCTATAATGATGCCCTTCATAAATGTGAGTTATTGATGCCGTTGGGAATCCCCCAGCCGGGGGTATCAAACATCCCATAGCCAGTGATGTGACGGCTACTCTACTTCCTCCCCTCACTCTGATTTTGTGGCTTCTGTTAATGTCTCCATGGTACCACCGTGATTCTTGACTTCAAGTAATGTTAAGCAGGGCTTTGGACATTACAACGGAAAGGTATAGCAGTAGAATGAGCATCCCTGGAGAGGTCAGCTAAGAGAGCAGCCCTGGAGGGGTCAGCTAAGAGAGACAAATCTAACCTCAATCAGCAGATAAGAGAAGAGCATGCTGGGACTGAAAATTGGTACACGTTCCTAGTAGCCCCAGCAGCCCCGCTGGCCCTGCGGACTGCCCTTTGAACATTCTGCATTCTGGTGGTATGTTCCAGCCTGAGCTCCACATGCACACATTTAGCAGGAGAATTACCATACTTTCTAACGATCTGTACAGTCTTTCTCCAGATCACTCCCGAATTTCACAACATCCTGGGTAGGTGTATAACAATAATAATAACTTGCAACTGCAGAGTGCTTCAAAGTTTGCAAAATGCTTTCCTCACAACAGCCCCGTGAGGCAGACAGTACATGTATTTTCGTCCCTGTGGTGCAAATGAGCAAACTGAGACTTTGACAGTTGTGAGTTGCCTAAAGTTGTACACCTATTGAGGGATCAAGGGGGATTTCAAACCAACTTCTTCCCATTATTCTGCTCCATGTACTCTATGATACAATGGACACAGATCTCCTTGTTTTGCCTTGAACACAACACTCCTTCTACCAACTCCAGGAATTGTCAATGGCTATTTGTCCCCTGTGCCTGGGATTCTCTCCCTCCTGGTTTTCCTAACTTCTTTTACATTTCACTAGTGGTACACTTTGCAAGAAGCCTTTGCCAGTCTGTAATGCCTGGGTCTTCGCTCTGAGATTATCTCTGATTTATCCTGTATATTATCTTGATTGTATATGGTTTGCATGTTATCTCTTTCATTAAAATGTCAGCTTCGTGAGAACAGGGACTGTCTTTTACTTTTCTTTGTGTTCCTAGGGCTTAGTGTAGTACCTGGGACATAGCAGGGACTTAATAAATGCTTGTTGACTTGACTTGATTCTCCCTACAACCCCATAGTAGTATTGTTACCTCCATTTTACAGATGAGGAAACTGAAGCTCACAGAGTTGAAGTGACTTTCTCATTGTGACTTACAATTCCTACAAAGTGCCAGAGCCAGAATCATCACCCTATTTCATAAAACAAGGTTCAGATTCTTCCACTTCACCACACTTCTGTCATGATGTCTCCTACAGGGATGAAACTAGAAGCAGCCCCAGAGCTGTTCGAAGTCTTCCCAGCACTCTGTTCTCCACCTCCCCCACCCCAAAGCTAGCTAAGGTTCCTTTGAGTCACCTTGGAGGTTTAATGTGCAATACTCCAACATTTCCACAAACTCATTTTGTAACTCGGTGCTGCAGTTGGCCCCACTGCTGTTGGCTGCAGAGAATGGGTTGATCCCTATAGCAGGGTTTAAAAAGCAGGAAGGAACTTTGGTTATTTAAGGATTTCTAATAGGCTGCCCATGGAGACCGATTCCAAATGAGCAAACTTGGACAGTACAGGGGTCAGGAGAGGGCAGGCTCATCAGCCCCAAAATGAGTCAGTCCACTCATTTATAAAACCTGGGGAGCTTCTGCTGGTGCAGATTCAAGTCTGAGTGGACCTCTCTTCCTTCCAGATACGGTTCAGAAACCACAGACATCAGCAAGGCAAGAACAGGCCAAGTAGGCCCTCATCTCTAAGCTGTTTCCTAGGGAGAACAAAGTTGTGCCATACTTCTCGTGGGCTGAGTGAAAGGAACCACATGGGAAGGAAAGGCCTCAGCTTTGAGGGTTGGTTTTCCCTACTAGAAGGGATCTCCCATAAGCTCTATCGGGAGCCCTGCGGTGGCTCACCGTGATTTATAACTACTCTCACTTAAAGACCTGTCTAATCCATCTGCAAAAAAAAAAAAAAATGGCTGAGAGATAAGAGGAGGCCTATTCTGGGTTCTTAGGCAGGTTGTTGCCTGAGGGCCAAAGGCAGGTCACAACAGAGTTCCCAGAGGATTCATTTTACAGGGTTAGGTTTTGAATGGCCTGGGCTACGTAGCTGCTGCCTGAGCAAGTGTTTGTACCTAGGTGAAAAAGAAGGGGTCCCCCATGGCCAAGGGCAAATTGCCTTTGCCAAAAGTTGCTTGAGACTCCAGAATGCAAATGTTGGCAGCCTGACAAAAGCAGACAGGGCTGGTTTTGGAGTCAGAGGCCTGATTTCAAATCCCAGCTCTGCCATTTTCTCCTTGTGTTAATTGGGTAAGTCATTTAATCTTTCTGGGGCTCAGTTTCCTTCTCTGTGAAACGAGGGGGCTAGATTAGATGAACTCTAAAGTTCCTTCCCACCCTAAATCTGTGAGTCTGGGAATTGTGATTATGTTGTGTCCTGATAACTTGACTAATTAGAGGGATAGCCAGGACTGAATCTGTGAACAATAATTAATTTTTTTTAATGAAATAAGAGTTTTGTCATTTTCAAGGACATAGAGTAATTCCAATTAGAACGCCCATGTCCATTCATTCATTCATTCCAACTGAGGCCTGCCTAAAGTTCTTAGGGAACCCATTTTTAATCCTGATCAGCCTCTGACTCCAGTCTTGTTTCACAGGGTGGACACACTAACCTATCCTCCCCCCACGCTGGACATCTCGCTTTCCTTCTTTCTCATCCTGTCCTTTTCCACTTCTGAGTCTTTGAAGATGCTTGAATCAAACTCCTCCCCTCACCCCTACCCTCCAATATGGATATAGAGGAAAGAATACTAGATTTGGAGTCAAAGGATCTGTTTTCAAGGCAATGGAGTTTTTTACTAGCCACCTTGGGCAAATCACTTAACCCAACTGGACCTCATTTTCCTTGTAAAGGCAGCTTAATGAAGTAGGTAGAATGCTGGACCTGAAGTCAGGTAGAGCTGGATTCAAATTCTACCTCTGACTTTTACTAGATGTGTTGCCCTAGGCGAGTCATTTTAACCTCTCTGTGCCTCAGTTTCCTTATTCTAAAGGAAGGAAGGAAACAAGCATTTATTAAATGCATAATTATATACTTAATAATTTACAGATATTATCTCATTTGAACCTTGCAACAACCCTGGAAGGTAGATGCTATAATGATCCCTATTTAACGGTTGAGGAAACTGAGGCTGAGAAATTAAGTGACT